AGATTAGAAATGCAGGCATGCTCAAATAAGTTGATATCAGATATCACAAATATTTGTCAATTATAGTCTACTCTATCAAGAAACAATAGATGGGCTATACATGTGTACTATTCCAAGACTTGTGCCTATTCTAGATATAAAGGACGAAATGATGTAATACATAAAAGAGTTAATCACAAAGATGATATGTCGAATCATAATTTTTGTAACTTAGGTGACAATGATTATTGCTAGATGTCACTCATTGTATGTAATATTAGAATTGTTCTAATAATTACTATTAATGTTACAAGAACCTACAGTGTTACACCCTATGATGAAATGAGCAAGATGTACAATTTGTTGTACGTTACTAAAATATCTAGAGTAATATGTATATTTGATATACATAGATTTTAATTATCCCAAATATAATTAGTAAACATTAAAAGAATGTAATTTTGATTACACTCTTTTAATAGATTTTAATTCGGAATAATTAATAAGATTTAAATAAACATTAAAGATTGTAATTTGGATTATAAGTCTTTAATGGATATTTAGTTTGAATTAATTAAAATATTTTAATTAATTCGAAATAACTTAAAACCCTAATATGTTAGGGTAACTCGTATATTTAAAGTGAGGTAAGGTCTAGCAACTTTTCTTCTTCAGCTGTTTTCTCAAAATTGTTTTGGGAAAAGTAAATTTGCTGTCAATCGGAAGAAGTAAATAGAGGTCGAGACGTGTTTCGTGGAGGCTTATGATTTGAACCGTCATGATCACCATTAGTCAATGTTGTCTTTGCTGTTTTTCAAGTAACCCATTGTAAGTATTCACATCATTTCCTCTCAATTTCGGTTTTGCGTACTTGGATCGCTGTTGAGACCGTTAAGTTTTTGTTTTCGCTGCGCCATGGAGTGCGCCGACAGTCCCAACTCACGGTTATAAAGAGTCTTCATAGCGTAAGTTACAATTCAGCCAAATTTAAATAAAATTCCATTTACTTACCTTTGAGAGTTTATAAATACAATAAGGGAATTTTAATAAAAGATAAATATGAGATTGAGTTAATTCTAATCTACAAAAAATTAAGGGTCATAGTACCAAATTAAAGAAATGTTAAAAATAACGTATAAAATAAATAATAGGTTAAATGAAATGAATGTTAAAATTTAAAGGGCTAGGAACGCCTCACAACACTGACTGATCATCATTTGAGCCACTAAGGCCGAAACAAATTTCGAGGTACAATCAAATTCCTCACCGGTCATTACTATCTTGGCACCATCCTCCTTTATAAGTTTAAGCTGCTTAGCCTTACACCTCAGACTTGCTTCGTGCTCCAAAAACTAATCCATCCTTAGAATGCTAGTTCCATCAAATCGACCATAAAAAGTATGACCTATGGTGGACTTTGTATACGAAGACGTCCAATCCTAATGGACTCGAAACATCTTTCTCTAACAAGCTCACGATAAATGTAAGAATAGACAAACCTATAATCTACTAAAGCGGTAACAAGAATAGAAAAAATAGTGAATGTACCTGATATAACATTGACTGAATCATACTCCTCCAGGGGCCTCATCGCATACTGCCTCGAGGCAACACTAGCCTCTGTTCCAATTGTTGATCTGGTTGTACTCCTACTCTGTTGATCCGACACTAAGCTGCCACTACTCTGGATCGATCATCGGTTCCTCTGAACGGATTGAACTAACCTCTAAGCAACCAGTGGTACAATACTTCCTGCCTCGGGACTATCTCTGATGAAATGCTCTAGTGGTCTTCATCCAAAACAGGCCTTAGAAACCCAGTGTCACCCCCGGTGCCATTACCATAGTTTCCACTCAAGGAGGTTGTGAACCTCTGGCTTATCCTCCAATGCTCACCACAGAGGCTGAATTTAAAGTCCACTACAAAACTTTGACCCATTCTAGAGTCATGAACTCTTTCTTGACCTTCGAGACTATAATGGTGGGGACGTCCTCGCTCCTCGGGAGTCCCTGACCGTCCTAGCTAAAGTATGGAGGGTCCAATAGAATCTACTGTCCTCTGACTTTGCCCTCTAGTGCCACCCATCAGACGGGCCCTCAGGCCCTGCACTCTCTCTATAGCCTTGGCCTGGCGAGTCAACTTAGCAAAGAGATACTACGTATGTTACTAAGATATTAGAACATATTATTAATATATTATTGTTTATTATTCATATATTAGTACATATTATGAATATTAGTTCATATTATTAATATTAGTACATTAGTATTAATAAATATTACTAATATATTAGTATATATTATTAATATATTAGTGTATTAGTGTAGACACTCATTTTCATCCGGGCTTAGTATATATATTAATATTATATTTTATCTTTGTATTTAATTTCAAAAGATGTTAGTAATTTAATTAGGATTAAGGATATTATTTTAATTAGGATTAAGGATATTATTTTATGTTATCTTTGTTTTAGATATTTTAGTTTAAATAGTTTAAGTGTTTTAATTAGGATAAAAGATAATATTTTAGGAATTATCTTTAGCTTGTTTTTAGGGATTTGAATGTTATAAATACCCTTTCAGGGTAAGCCTAGAAACACAAAGACTCATCTTAGAATAAAATTTTCTTTTTCTCTCTATCTTTCTCTCTATTTTCGCATATTCCTTTATTTTCCTTTGAAATTCGTTTTCAATATGCTAAGTATGACATTGGTCATGCTTAGCTAATTTTCTTTTAAGCCGAGAAGGCTGAATTCCAAATGTGAGAATTGTAAGAAGGATTGACTTATTGAAGCACATTCGACTTCTTAAGAACACGCATAACAAAATTGTTTTCTAAGAGGAAACTGAGATCGAAACCAGTTATTTTTGAAACAACATAATCCGAGTCGACAGCGAAGAATTGGCCTTTTAAACCGACGTGAATTTTGAAGTAAAGTTCCGTTTCGATAATCTGAGGAATTTGAGGCAATGTTGAAGTCTGAAGTTGCTTTCATTATATGTTTCTCTTTATCTCAATCTCTTTAGATTATTTATTTAATTATTTTCTTTTATTTAATTCTTATCTTTTATTTTATAAACAACTTTTAAAAATCCCTTTTTATCTTTACTATTATTTATTATTTAATTTAACAATTCTTTTTTATTTTATTTTGTTTTATTATTAAATTTAACACTTCTTTTTTATTTTATTTGTTTTTTTTTATTTTCCACTTCTTTTTTTAATTTAATTCTATTTCTCTTTTAACATTTTTTATATTTATTATTTTTTCTAAAATTTAATATTTCTTCATTTATTTTATTTCTCAATTTTTATAAAAATTTTTTAATTTAATATTTCCTTCTTTGATTTATTTTTTAAAATTTAAAATTTATTTGATATTTCTTTTATTTTATAATCTAACATTTTCAACTTTTTAGAGGTAATTCAATCGATCAAAGGTAAGTAATTCGAATCGAATCTTTAAATTTAAATTTTCACAATTAAGACAACCGACAAATTAAATGGTACCGAAAGGGCGATTCAAGGGTGTTAATCCTTCCTTGATTGTAACCGACTCCCGAATCCGAAATTTTTTGGTAAAACGTAGATCAAGTAAGATAGTATCCGATCAACCAAATTTTTTACGAAAAATAAATGATCGGTGGAGACTCTAACGTTCTTATTTAAGTTAAAGCCCAATTCTGGGCCCACCTGAAAGACGGTCACGACAGCTTGGAGACTCCGCTTGGGACAGGTAAGTGAGTCAAGCCAGAATTAATTTTTGGTTGTCTTTCTTAGAGCGAAAATTGTAAGTTTAAATTTTAATTTAACTTTTCAATTTTTATTATTTATATTTGATTATCTTTTTCAAATAAATAGTTGAACTGACATTTTTCAATGATTTCATTATTTTTGAAAAGTTTTCATCTCTGGCTATATCCCGAGCTCTGAACCCTTTTTAAGTGGGGGTAAAAACGACGTCTTCGTGAGAATTTATTCTCCGTACGGACCTTGCAAGTAACCTTCGAGATTCATATACCTTATGTCTTTGTGTGAATTTATTCATAGTGGAGACTTGATTATTGCATTATGTTCATTTTTCATAGTGGAGACTTGATTGGATTCCAAGCCTATGTTTTGGTTAGTTTCGGCTTGAGCAATTTCATTCACCCCAAACACTTTGAGCGGATATGTGTGAATCTTTGTGAGGTATTGATTCATGTTTCATTGAAATTGGCAATTAATTGGGATGTCTTGCTTACTTTAAATTTTTCTAGTTGTGTCTTTGCTTGATTGTAACTTGAATTTGGCAAATGTTATGGACTTAGTTCGATTGGAAGTTTGAGGAATAAATTGAAATTGAAGATGACAACTTATGATTTTGATATGTTAATTGAGGAATGCTTAAGGACAAACATTGAATAAGTGAGGGGGAATTTGATAAGTGCTTAATTTAGTTAATATTTTGCTTTTAAATTACTCCTTAATCATTGGTTTTTGTGGCTTATTTGTTCGTTTTAATTCATTTTCTGTGTAGGATGTCAGATTCTGGAAATTGCACTAAAAGGAAGACATTCTGTAATTTTTTTATTATTTGGCCACGGCTGAAAGACTACTTCACTTGGCTTTCTCGCAAAGAGGAGTCACTCGAAGAACATCTCACATGACTTTCCTATGAAGGGGAGTCATCCAAAGATAATCTCACTGGTTCAAACCTGCTAAGGGGAACCACCTGAAGAATATACCACATGACTTTCCCGTGAAGGGAGTCATCCAAAGATCTTCTGACCTGGTTTAGACCCGCGAAGGGGAACCACCTGAAGAATATACCTTGAATTGTGTTCTAAAGTTTATAAAATACACGTTCGATATTTGTGAAAATTAATCCTCAAATACATGAAAATTATTATATTTAAAAATATTCATCTTAGTATGAATATATGATAAAACAAGTATAGTTCTTTTCTTCTTCTTCTTCTTTCCCTTCAAATAGTCAATCTAAGAATTGATTTAGAGGCTAAAAAACAATCGCAGCATAATAAAAATACCTTTTTATTTTCAGTATAAAAAAGCACCATACATGACTTGACTTATATTAGACATTGAAAGACTTCGAAAAGGGGGAAGGGGATTTAAGGACGAAGACTTGAACACAAGTCATTTATTACCCAACCTTCCTTATTTTAATAGTAGTAGTGCATGCAAAGCAGCATTTTTAACCAAGAGAGTTAGAGATCAAGCTTCCTCGAGTTTTGCATTCAAGTTTGGCTTTTGCTGGTGGGATCAATGTCAAGAGTTGACTTGAATCCTAGCTTACTGGCTTCAGCACTGTTAGTAGCCTTTTTCAGTTGTGCATTGATGTTGTCCCAATTAATAGGACTGTCAGTAGTAATCTCAGTGTAGACCTGCAGTTTGAAGAGATTTAATTTATGTTAACGTTGGTGGAATTGTTTCATCTATGAAATTAATACCAATGAATAAGAAAAAACAGATATGATCTTACTGATGAGTTTGGCATATAAAATGGAATTGATGCATACCTTATTGCCTTCATTATTCCCATTCCTCCAGGCAACAACCCACTTAATGTTTTGTTTGATAACAAACACAGATCCGGCTATGGAGGATCCGACATTGGAATCGGCCAAGTGTTGAAAATATCGTGTCTGATGCGATGGAACATTTAGCGGCCGATTTCCGGTTCCATACCAATTTTTGGTCGAACGTGCTTAAATCTTCATCGATTGATTGTTAAGATACACCTCCGTGGATATCGCAGGACCAACCTTGCTTGGAGCAGCCATCGCCTTGTCTTAGTTCTATATTTCAGAGTACCTTATGCTATTGGTTTGGTTGCGTAGTGGTATGCTACAAACCCATATATATAGTGGTTTGCAGCCAAGAAGATGACAAAAAGTTGTTATAACTATATTCTCACATGTTAGTTTTACGTTAATTATTTGATATGTGGTTGTTGTAACTAATTTACTCTTTTTAAAATATAAAATGTTCTGCAAATATGTCCTTTCGTCTTAGGTATATGTGATCAGGTCATTGTTTAATTACCATTGACCTCCCATGTGAAGTTTTCAATTGTTTATGCTTTATTTAATTAATAATAAGTTTTGTTTTAATTTTCGTAAAGAATTATTTTCATTAAATTGTAAAATTATATTTGTTATGGTTATTTAAAAATAATTACATTCTTGCATAGCAAAATAACGTTTATTACTTCGTCATGTTTATAATCATACGCCAAGCTTCCATACACAGTGTCGAAATTGTCCTTCGAATACCCCGGGGTTGAATCTTGACTTAAGTTTGTGATATAGTCATCACCAACCTTTTGAATTAGGCATGGTTCGATACTTAAAAGCTACCTTTTTATCGGATCTACACCTTACAAGAGATTCACTTGAAATGGTTTGGGAGTCAATTACGTGTGAGAAGGATGAGCCCCCACAATGTCCTTAATTGGTACCATCACGGTGTTAGAGTATGCCCAAAGACCAATCATATGATTATTGTAATACATTTATTTATCGATTTTATTGAATAAAGGCATTGCCACTATTATTTTCAGTCATATGTATGTGTTTAATATAAACTGAAATATAATAAAGTCCGTATAATAACATTATTATTATAAAAATCCATAGTCAAGTATTATTGTGGCCATGGTCAATAATAATACGTTTAAGATAAATATGTTATTGATTGATGACAACGAGTTGTAATTGACATAGAGATGTCAAAATTGATAAATAATTATATTGTTAGAGAACAATGTATTGGATTGACCCACCATGAGCATATGTCTTGGATTATTATGTTACAGTCATAACATTGCTCATGGTGATGACTATATGTATGATCCTCAAACTTGAGATCAATTCTATCCCAACATATATTGTTGTATGTTTCGATACAGTTAAACATGCTCCATAACAAATGATTTATCATTATACATAAATAAAAGAGATTTTCAGACTCATATATAAAACAAAATACAATTACATGCCCCCTAATCACATGTACCATTCTTTGCAAGCAATGCCAGAAAAACTTCTTTACTGATGTCGATAGATGCACTGGTACGATTCTTTCAACTTGAAAAGGGTGAGTAATAGAGTGAGCTTCGAAAGCTCAGTAATACAGAACTACCAGATGATGCTGAAGAAAGTGCAGATACAGATAAAATATATTTCGTTATCGGTTCAAACATCTACATATCTTTATGTTGAGCGAAAATCCTATCGATATTTCAGGTATTAACAGACAGTGAGCTTTTAATTCAGAGAAATATTTCGGATAACTAAGTTCAGGAGATCAGAATAGGTTATCTAGTGTGTTCTCATAAAACCAGTAAAAAAGAATCTTTTTAAAACATATTTTTACCCCCCATCCTTTCACAATTTGTTATGTAGGTTCCCCAGAACCATACACCCAACCCATACAACCTGTAAGGTCCTGAGTACAAAGTGAGGAACCTGCAGAAATACTTCCTCCAACATTACCCCCAAATAAAAAATTTCTCCGTCGATAAATGGAGATATCAGAAATCAAAATAGAATTCAGATCAAATATCAGAACAGAATCCAGATCAGAAATTAGAACAGAATTCAGGTCATGTATCAGAACAGAATTCAAATCGGAAATCAGAATAAACATTTATGTGATTAGGGTACATACTAGAGTTTTCAGATGTTATTCAGAGATACTGAATAATCTTATTGGGCAAAGAAACACGAATTTTCAGTATAATGATAGAATACCAGAAAGTAGAATCACTATTGGAAGAGTTCATTAACTGACAGAATCATCAGTTATTCAGAATGTGAATTGAGCTGATAAGGAAGAAACGAAGATTCGGAACATTTACGATTTGTGTTGATCTATCGAAATATCGAACAACTCCCAGAACTGATGCTTGTTGACTGATCAATTCATTATCCTTCTAGGGTATTTACTTTTTAATACCACAAATTATTGTTCATAGATCATCTTTGGAATCATCCCTGAATAGATCTTAAGGAAACTAACAGATATTCTAATGTTCTTTATTTCATTTCCACGCTTCCACGATATCATGAAATATGACGTGCTTGATTGTAGTTCATGACTCATAAGAACATTACATCATGTATATTCATTAACGTTTCTAGACTCGTCCTAATCACTTATTTAATCCTCAGCCATTGAGGTTACTTATTTCATTTAACAGTCAAGTCTATTCCGGTTACTTCAGAATTTTTCGGATGTTTTCTGACTTTTGGATACATATGGTACTTTCGCTCAACTCAATTCGGTCTTTGTGGTTGATTTGTTGAACAAATATCCAATTTTTAATATTGAATATGATATAGAGTTGAGCTGAGCTAAATACTTCCAAAATTATCATTGAGCCACACTTGAGAAGACGAACACGCATTCAAGTAATATTTATGTCGTTCAGGTACTAACATATCATTAAGACTGATCAACTCACTTAAGTTGTTTTCCATAACTTTTAAAAGTAGTACAACATCCATGTTTATTTGGATTTCTTAATTAATCCAAGACATTTACTTATTCTAGGCCATTCATTTCAGAGCTCAAGGATATCCAATCATTCCTGAGCTTGGTGATATTCTTCGTCATTTGCATTCTAAGGGTATTCTGGTCATTTTTACAGATCCAGTGTATTCCAATAATTCATTTCGTCAGATCTTATTATTAAATTCAAACTTATCATTTATGCCAGTCCCATCGAACTATTCTGACAAACACACCCTCGATAAATTATTACTCATGTATTTATTCATAACTTAGAGATTTTCGGGTCAATTATCTTCTCAGAAGATTCCAACAGGCTATCAGGAATTTTCTGTACAAAGACAGGATCTTAACAATTAAATTTGTACTTTATCGAGTTAAGTACGAATCCTCAATGTACTTATCATTCAGGGTCAACTCGGATTATTTTTACCTTTCAAGGCATTTTCATAATTTCTTAACCAAATAGTTTCGATATTAACTCTTAACGAAAATAATTGTTGTTTAGAGATTCTATGGTTAATTGCTTTCTCGAATATTCTCTGATCTTGAAATGATTTCTTAACAGACTTCTAGTATTTGCATAAACCCTCTTAAGTTTAAAAACCGGTTACCCGCATTTCCTAAGCAAAACTAGCATTTCTTATGCACATCAATATTTTTTACCGGATCAATATGTCTTTTCAGAGTTATTAACCAACTTCCATGGACAATTCTTGTCATCTTACAACAAAAGGGTATTTTCATAATTTTACCCAACCAGAGTATTCTCATAATTTCTCATTCGAGTACCTTTAATATTTAACTTTTGTTGATATAAAATATAAGTTACAAATCAAGGGTTGATTCTTTATCACTAATCATAAAACTTGTAATTTAATTCTAACAATCTCTCAATCTCTTATATTAGTCATTCGATCCGTATTCAGTTACCGAATTTCTACCTCATTCATATCGAGTGTATAAATTAATCAATTCCACAAAAGTGATCAACATTATCTTATTCATGCATTCAATAATATCAACATGTTTCATAAAGCGTAAAGTGGTAGTAAAGTATTACCTCGTTTTTCCTGCCATACTGATCGACCATTTAGACTCAATTCGAATGTCCTTGATCTTTAAATCAACTTCCAATAATTCCTCAGATACATATCAACAAAAATTACATAAAAAACAGATCTTAATTCCGAAAAACAAATCGAATCTGGTGATAAATCAGTCAAAATAGCTTATCGGGTTCGAATTTGGCGAAACGGATCCCAAAAATAGATTAGGGACGTCAAAAACATATTTTATAACTTTTCAAAAATTTTGACTTTCTCGGTCAAAGTCAACGGTCAAAGATCAACGGCGGTCAAAGGTCAACGGTCAACGATTTTACACAATATCACCCTAACAAAAATTAATTACAAATTAGGCACCATTATAAAAGTATTTACAAAACTAGCACCCGAGTTTTACATAAATATCACCCTAATAGAAATTAATTCCAAATTAAGACTTTCCTACGCGTAGGGGCGGTGCGTGGGGTGCGTGTGACGTCCCCGGAGGCCCTAAAAATCCTGGAAAATATCTAAAAATTATTTTATGACATTTTAAAACACTTACCAAGATCGGTTCACAATTTTGAACGGTGGAGAGCTCAATTTAGAAACATTGAAAACTTTGACTTTCTCACCCCTCCACGCACTAACGACGACAGAGAAACGGAGGACACTGGAGGACTCGAAACGATGCAAGTAACACGATGGTGCGGGAGGTGTCGAAAATGGATGGCAGATCGTCGTGAATCGACGAAAAACCAATTGAAATCGAGTAAAAACCAACGATACTTCCAACTGAAATTAACGACAAACAATGACGATTCACGACGAAAGGTTTGAGGGGTTTTGTTCATCGGTCGACAACGAACACGATGGTGGTTTTGGTTCGTCAAAAAGACGTCAGACGGTGAGTAGATCGAAGTAGAAAGGAGGGTTGAGGGGAAGGGAAAAATGGGAATCATGTCTGGAAACTGAGCACGGGAAAGAGGTTTATAATTCATCCTTAAAAAAATGGGTAAACCATGAGTTTAGTCATTAAATTTCCTACACTTTATAAAACGATCTGCCAACTTTGAAAATTTTCAATTTAATCCTCAATTTTCTTCCTAAAATACCAATTAAATCTAATATTTTATCATTTCTAAAATTTG